AAGCTCAAGGCTGAGCGTGAACGTGGTATCACCATCGACATTGCTCTCTGGAAGTTCGAGACTCCAAAGTACTATGTTACCGTCATTGGTAAGTTGTCCTGCTGCTTCGCCCTCTGTCTTTCGATTTTCTAACATCATTTCCAGATGCCCCTGGTCATCGTGATTTCATCAAGAACATGATTACTGGTACTTCCCAAGCTGATTGCGCTGTTCTCATCATTGCCGCTGGTACTGGTGAGTTCGAGGCTGGTATCTCCAAGGATGGCCAAACTCGTGAGCACGCTCTTCTTGCCTACACTCTTGGTGTTAAGCAACTCATTGTTGCCATCAACAAGATGGACACCACCAAGTGGTCTGAGGATCGTTACCAAGAAATTATCAAGGAGACCTCCAACTTCATCAAGAAGGTCGGATACAACCCAAAGACCGTTCCTTTCGTTCCTATCTCGGTTTTCAACGGTGACAACATGATCGACAACTCCACCAACTGCCCATGGTACAAGGGTTGGGAGAAGGAAGCCAAGGGAGGAGCCAAGTCCACCGGAAAGACTCTCCTCGAGGCCATCGATGCTATCGACCCACCTTCCCGCCCAACTGACAAGCCCCTCCGTCTCCCACTCCAAGATGTTTACAAGATTGGTGGTATTGGAACGGTGCCAGTCGGTCGTGTTGAGACCGGTATCATCAAGGCCGGTATGGTCGTTACCTTCGCCCCAGCTGGTGTCACCACTGAAGTCAAGTCCGTCGAGATGCACCACGAACAACTCGTTGAGGGTGTTCCAGGTGACAACGTCGGTTTCAACGTCAAGAACGTTTCCGTTAAGGAAATTAGACGTGGTAACGTTGCTGGTGACTCCAAGCAAGACCCACCTAAGGGTGCTGAGTCCTTCAACGCTCAAGTCATTGTTCTTAACCACCCTGGTCAAGTCGGTGCCGGTTACGCTCCAGTCTTGGATTGCCACACTGCCCACATTGCTTGCAAGTTCTCTGAGCTCCTCCAAAAGATTGATCGTCGTACCGGTAAATCTATTGAAGACTCTCCAAAATTCATCAAGTCTGGTGATGCTGCTATCGTCAAGATGGTTCCATCCAAGCCTATGTGTGTTGAGGCCTTCACTGAGTACCCACCTCTCGGACGTTTCGCTGTCCGTGACATGAGACAAACAGTTGCTGTCGGAGTTATTAAGTAATTTTTCCCTTTCTTTATTCCCCCTCTCATCTCGTCGTCACTGTTGCTAACAAATTTCTTCTAGGTCCGTTGAGAAGCAAGAAAAGGCTGGCAAGGTCACCAAGGCCGCCGTCAAGGCTGGTGCCAAGAAATAAATGCAATAATGGAATGAAACAAAATTTCTCCATATTTGCTTTGTTTCGGGTTCACGATGATTTATGGCTAGGATGCAAAACACCATTTCCTTTTACCTCCTCGGTTTACGATAAGATGATTGGGTTTGGGTTTACGCGTAATGGTTTAGCTCTTCCGCGTTCTGGTATCTTACATAGAACATAGTCGTCTAGAATGCACTTCAAAGTAATTTGTTTCCGTCCCGTATAATGTGTGATGTAATGTTCATGTTGATGTGACTGACTTTCTCACTTGCAACCCTCCATATCAACAGTAACGACCAGATGAAGAGAGAGGCAATAAAGAAAGGGAAAAAATTACTTAATAACTCCGACAGTAATGTTTTTCTCTGGTTGCAGGCGACCAGCGTGGCAATGCACCATGTCTTTCAGTCTTGTCTCGAATTTTGTCAATGAAACGTTGGAGCTACCTTGCCCATTTAGTAGTTTCCTGGGCTCCATTGAATCAGCACATTGCTGATGTGTTTACTTCACCTCCGGCCAGTAGATGTTTGTACTGTTATATCATGAGGGTAGGACCATAGGGCGACAAAATTCAAGCAATCTTCGAATGAAAGAAACTCATCTAGTTTTCTTGATGGTGTAGTCTTGCCAATCGACTTCGATCCAAACCATAGTAACATGTTCTCGAGAGGATAATCTCAACGATGTAAATATGTGTATTGTGGTGAATTTGAATAGTGAGGTGGTGAGATGGTGTCGAATTTTATTCGCGGGGTTGATCTTCGCTTGTATCATGGAGGGGAAGCTATAGAGTCGAAGAGTAGAGTCAAAGTTCTGGTGATGATCTCGCTGGGCAAGGTATCTGTAATTCTGATTTTTAACTTTCTTTCGGATTTAGGTTTTCTTTTTGTGGTGTTCTGAATTTTTTCGGGCAATTTCTGAAGTTGGAGATCTGCTGGGCGAGGTTATTTTTCCTTAGCGATAATTTGGGGCTTGCTGTTCATAATGACGTTTTCTTTTTGTGCTGCACACAATCTTTACAGCATATCTCTCAAGTTGGAGAGCTGGTAATAACCTCGCTAGGCGAGGGAGGTCATTTGTATTGTTAGCGACAATTTGGGATGGGATTTGGTGGGCTTGTTGGAGTTGCTGGTGGGTGCTTTGTTATCTGTTGGTGTTGGTGCTGGTGCTGGTTTGGATTTGGGGGTGTGGGAAGGGAGTGTGGGAAGGGAGTGTGGGAAGGGAGTGTGGGAAGGGAGTGTGGGAGGGGAGTATGGAAGTGTGTAGGTTGGTGGTGCGATGGATGTTGTGAGTGGATGGTTGGAGGGGCTTCTGTGGTTCTATTTGAATCTATGGGGGGTTGATTTGAAGCGTGGAACGAGGTGCATGACTTGAGGGGTTTTGGAGAGGACATGAAGGAGTGTGAAGGAGAATTATTGAGGGGGTTGATTTGATTTGGAGGGTGGATGGTGGAGCGTGGAGCGTGGAGCGTGGAGCCTGGAGTGGAGGTGTATAGTTTACACTCTAGAGGTGAAATTTTATTCGATTGAGGTTTGAGGTTTGATGATCAATGTTTTGTATTTATGGAGGTCTTGGTAACTAGTATTATCTTGCACGATTTTGGATTATATGCAGCGGGGTAGCGCATATCCGTAAAGTTCTCTTTCGTTCACTACTACATACTTCCTGTCTTTAATAGTATACCACATCTTAGCTACCAGTCAATTTGGATTAAGTCTGGCTGGCTGTCTTGAGGGGAATTGAAGTTAAATCATGGCATGGTCAAAACGGGTTTCTAACATGCATAAGTATAATGTGAAGAATCTATCGTGCTTGGATCAGATATCTTGTGGGTGAGCTGGCTGGCGCCCGTTCTGTTTTAGAGACCTTGTGCCTGAAGTGGGAGTGAGAATGGGAGTGTAAGTATAGAGGGAACCTTTTCGTGGCTCTCTTCCGGGGTGTCCCAAAGTCCGAACTGCAGTCCCACAATGAAGATTATCGAATCCCCCAAAATCAATTAGAACATTCAAACTATTTGAGATGTTGAATTTGATTGGATCATTGAATCATATTCAAACCTCCAATCACTCTTAGATATTCAAAATCTCATATTATTGGACTGCAGTTCGGACTATGGCTACCCTGCTCCCCTTCCCCACCCCTTTCATTTAAGGCTTTCTCATTGTTTCAATTGGTTTCATACAATCACTCCACTCTTATACTCTTATAACTACTATATACTTTGATTCACCAGTGGATGTATGAAATGATAGGACAATCCTCAGTTCTCGAAATTTTTAATAAATTAATCTTTAATTGGTTTATATCATCATCCTTTCTTTCATTATCAACCCTCGATAGCCCTAGGGAGACGAAACCCCTTACGATTTCCCCAGATAATTCCTCACGACCTCATTCTCTCAACCTGTTCCACAGCCTCCGCATCACCTCTTTTCTTTTCTTTTTTGCGTCGCGAACTCTCCTCTTCCTGTTCGCTTCCAATTTCCACGCAGGGTCAGTTGCTCTCTTTTCTCTACGCAGCTGATTTTGGTGTTCCTTGACTCCAGGTTTCGCGTTTCGCGTCTCGCATCTTTCGTTTGTCCTTTTCTTCCTGTTTTTTCTCCTCAGGCCATTGTCCCTTAAGTTTCTTGCGTCTAGCCACGTGTCCTTTTTTAGCCTCGTCTGCATTGAAAGTCTCGCGGTACCGTCTAGTATTGTTGACGAGTCTGAGTTGTCTCATCTCTGAGGAAGTAGCGATTCGGAGACCATCTGTCAAAGACTATATAGCAGTCAGCATCCAAACAATCTGCCGATTTTATAGATGAAATCGTGGACTTCTTACTAGATGTTTTGGATTGAGAGATTGTTGATGTGGTAGATTCAGATGTCGAGCTGGTATGTTTTCTGATGGAGGTGCTTGAAAGAGAACTCTTCGATGTAACTATCGACTTTGGTGGATGTTGGAGTTTCAATCCGAGTACCCTTGACGAAGAAATCCTTAATGCTGACCTGTCTCATGTTGAATTTGAACTCCGATGATGATTGAACGATGATTTCAAGATGGTAGAAGCATCTTCGTCCTCATATCTGAGAAGAAATCGTATATTTACATGTTGATTTCTAGGGGAGGAAGGTACAAAGTTGAGGAAAAGCACTTCGAGGAAGCTGCATCTTCCCCCCCTTTAATTGAACCATTCCTCCGTCTTGGGGTTATGTTATCAAATGTACAAATCAATTGTAACCTTAAGGACTCTCAAATATTCATTTGATTGCTTCGAGTTTTAATCAAAAACATATATAACCCCCTCGACGGAGGAATGATTCAAAACCATAGCATTTTAAATCATTCGAGAACATTAGTTAATAGGTAAACTTGCCTCACAAGGTCACATAAAAGTTCAAAAACATCACCAATAGTGAGCATAAAATGGAGAAACAAAGTTAAATTCATTGAATTGAACGATTTTGCTCGCGTTGCGATGCGAAAAATCAAAGTATTAAAAAGCATCAACTATCCCTTCCTTCACCCGCTCGCTTTTATCTTTCCTCCACCATGGCATTGAATATTAAATTGGTCTCTTATCCTTTTGATGCATCTACTCCAACATTGAGTTTCTGTTGATTACTACTTCCTAGGTTCCTTTGTCTTTGACTCGTGATCTTTTGGTGTGACAGGTGGTAAGGGCCAAGCTACTTTAGATTGGGTTCAAACTGCCCATGAGTGACTTGTGGACTGGATTGTGCTGGTTCTCCAGAATGTAGCTCAAAATTGGCTCAAACGCTTCCTTTGAATCAATCTCGTCGGTAACCAGTTGGGTTAATATGCTCGACACGATTCCATTAATCTTCTTAAACTCTTCAGCGTCAGGAAAGCGACGAGCCATCTCTACGAGTGCTTTTGGTATCGCACTAGACCATTTGGAGACGGCCAAGTTACCAACTTCGACAGCGTCCTGTGCGTTGAGAGATAATAATATACCAACACCGAAAGCGTCAACCAAAATTGATAATTTCTTTCCGTGCGCTTTGAATAATTGGAATTTCTTCACCAATTGATCCTGTTCACATAATTAGCAAATTATTTTGAAATTGGGGTAACCTTGCAAGGCAAGAAGTACTTACTTTTTTAGCATCAGGTAAAATCTTCCATGTATCTTCACCAGCTACGTTTATGACAAAACGAAGATATGCCGATCCTTTAGCAATGTTTTTTTGTAACTACCATCCTTTCCTTTGCGACTGGCTACTGGATGATCTTCGTTTTGGAAATATTTCTCTGCTCCAAGATGAATGAAATAGTATGCTAAGAGTTGCCTTGTTAGAGTCATCTCGGCCTCTCCTTTGGCCAAAAGACCAAGGATTACAGGAAGCTTTGATCCATTTGGCTTAATCGTTAATGGACGATGAGCTTGAATTTTTCGAACTATGATTGGCACAAGTGCGGAAATTCGAAAAGATTTCATCTTGTTGGTCAAGTACGCAGTTCCAGCCTTTGTAGCAGATTCCGTAATTGCACTTCCAGACCATGATAGAAGAATAAGCAATCTTGCAACTACCGTGTCTTCGTAGTCATATTGATTTAATCTGAAAGATGAGATTTCCTTGATAATCTCTTCTTTTGTGTCCGGAATAGCAAGCGACCACTTTGTGACATCTGCCTTAGGCTTGCGAGGTTGGAGTTGGAGAGGTTCTTCGGAATGTTCCTTCAAATTTTCATTTATTTCATGGGTCTCACGTATGAGATTATCCATTTTCTCCAACAAATCCTCCTCGGGCAAATCTTGAAAGGTATCGTCATTTTCGGCTTGCATGAGGAGTTCCTTCACAAAGGCATCAACATCTCCTTGGTAGCCAAATCTTTGCACTCGGATACGAAGATAATCTTCTGTCAATTCTGGAATATCTTCATCGGGAACGGAATAAGCATCCGACGATCCGGCACTGTCGATAACGATTTCATCGGATGTGTTGGTACGTTGTTTGGTGGCCATCATCTTGGAATTTCTTCTCTTCTTTGTAGGGGGACTTCCTGATTCAACTTTGGCGACCCATTTTCCATCCTCAAACTTGCCTAAAGCCTTCTTGATTTGTTCTCCTGTTCTCTTTCCAACTTTGCTAAACTTTTTGATGATCTAGAACAATTAGCAGTTATTTTAATAGTCCCAAAAGAAATATATACCTCTTGATCCTGCAACAGTTCGTTCATCTCATCAGGTGTCAACTCCCAGAATTGTTGTTTAATTTTTTTTAAATTCATCGGAATCATCATCACCTGTGCGAGATTTTCTTTTGACAGCTTTAGGAGCAGATCCGGCTTTAGCAGCAGGTTTAGCTGTAGGTGGAAGCTTGGGTGGCATTTTGATATATCGAAGGGAAAGCTTGCTAGGCATGATTAGCTTACTTCAAATTAGATGTTGAAATTAATGATCAGGTAGGTAAGCTTGTCAGGCAAGTTTACATTGAAGTCAATGGGAATAATGAATACAAGGTAGAGGTGAACATACATCGAATGTGTTGAATGTAACCTTGCCAAGGCAAAGGTAGGTATTCTCGGTTGGAGGAAAGTTTTGATTTCAATGAGATCTTGCTGAAGCAAGATTAGGGGATTTCGATGAGGTCGATTAGTAAAAGATTGTATAGGATTAGAAATCGAGATTAGGAGATTGATAATAAATAAAATATTAATATAAAAATTGAAAACTAAATAAAAATTACTTTAGAATTATATGATATCTTATAATCTTAAAATATTAATACATATAAATATTAATATTTCAATTTATAAAATAAAAAATAAGTTTTATATTATTTTTGATTTTTATATTCATATATAATTTAAAACATTCTTTTTCAAATTAAATAAACTTTCAATAAACTTTTAACTAACTCTTATTACAATCTTATATACAAATAATAGAAACATAATAATACAATTTTCAATTATATAATTCTTCAAAAATTTATATCATTTCATTTATGTTTACTTCAATTCAACAATTTGTAAATAATCTCATCAAACAAATTCATTTCAAATAAACTCAATCCTTTCTTTAAACTTTAATTATTACAATCACATTTATATTATCTTAAAGAAAACTATTTAGATTAATGCCCACTTATATCTATTAACGAAATAGTATTTTAATAAAAAACACATTCATTATAATCATAAGATACTATATACTATCGATTAGTTCAATATCTATTCAGTATGTTCAAGTATAAATAGACTTTGAATATTGTGATTTCTTCCCCGATTGATACAAGATGAGATGTCGACAGATGAATGCATTTCAGACATCACTCGATGGATTAAACAAACGAACAATCCCACTTACAACGACATCGCCATCCTCGACGGATCGTCTACAAGCCTGATTCAATATACACACACGCCTTCAACCCCTCTCGCTCAACAAATCGAGACAATCATAAGCCCGAGGATGGCGAGGTTCGACAAGCTGTTAAAGGAAAATTCGTTCCACTAACAAATACTTATGATAGTGGAATCTTTGTCGTTTGTAGCTTGTTGATTGAAGCTTCCGGTGGAGAATCACTCGATGAGATTGATGAAGACGGCATTGCTCATTTTCGACTGGAGTTTGCGACTTTGATTACACGATCGGCACATGCTAATGTTCTTGCTGGTAAGGTTCAGGTCAAGGCCTCGAACTACAAGAAGTAAAAAAGGCAATGCCTAAACCATCACCATAACTTCTACTTGATTCGATTGGGAATTTTCATTTGATTTTATTTCTTTTTAAATACTCGTACAGGTTTGCTTTATTCTTGAATGAGGGGAGGACGGATTGAATACTAATGGGGGGGGGGATCAATTACTTTTTTTCGAGGATCGTCACATGATCATTTTTATTTCGGGTTGCATTTCGGGTTGTTTCACCACTGCGAAGGATGAGAATTGCTTCGGCAAACTTTTTAATACATTATGATCTTTAATTATGCGGTACTGCTGCAAGTTAGTTTCCTCATTCAATAAGTCCTTGGGGTAACTTTTGGTTTAAATCAATACGATGGAATTGAGTGGACCATTCGCTTCCATTCATTTCCGACCACCTCCAATTCTTCTCTTTCTATTTTCCCTCTCTCTATATTCAGGATCATTGGCCCTACGTTCTCGACGTCTCTTGTTCTGAGCTTCTTTGAAACCAGGCTTGTTATCATGTATCTTCCTCTTTGCCTTGGCGTCCTCTTTTTGATCTTCTGTTTTTGCTTCCTTCAGTTCTATCCTTCTTGCTAAATGTTGCTGCAAGAAAAAAGATGGATTTAAATATAACGTGTTTTATCACCAAGTGGATCATATCACCGAGTGGATCACTTTCACCTCAATTTACCACTTTAAACTTATATTATTTAATAACAATTGAATCAATTGATTAAAACTATTAAGAATCTAATAATCTAGAATCTATTATATTGTTTTGATAAGTTCTTGAATTATGACCTGATTTTCTATACTTACTATAGCATCTATTAAAGGATGCTTCCCCAATAGGATTTCCCTTATTTTGACACTTGTCGCATTGAATCTAAATATCAACCTCTTGCTGAGATAATATATCAAGAGCCTTTTATCCAGTAAGTATTCCTCCTTAACGTAATTGAGTTTTTTTTGTATATCAATGTTTACTTAATGTTTCATTTGCTATTCGAAGTGTACAAATCTTTGTATTTAAAAGTGTATTCTTATGAGCTAATCTCTTTATACCCTTAGCTAGAGCTAGTACAGTCTCAAATATAGATGTAGGAGAGTTTGATTAATGACAAGTTATTCGAGATTTAACTAATATTAATTGAGAAAGAGCTTCAGTTGGGTTGCGAGGGGTTTGAGAGATCCATTGATCTAGATCGAAAGAGGGGGGGGTAGGTGTACAAATTCGAATATCTAATTTCGAAAGTACGGCTTCAGGGTTAAATGGTATTAAATCTGTTTCTCGAAACTTTGATTTCATATTTTGAGAGGTGATTGATTTTTTGTATATAGTTTTAAAAGCTATAAAGAATTCAATTTTCGAGATATGATTAATATGTGCCTTGATAAATCTATTAATTTGATTACTATATAAATGTTTCAGATTACCAAAACAATTTATATCAAATGGTTGAGTTAGATAACTTGAATACAGTAATAAATATAAATATATGATATTGTTCTCTTTATAGTATACTTGAAAAGCTTTTGATTTGTAGCTTTCATGCCTATTTAGTACTAATATTTGATATTTGCTCTTTTTTCGATTTTTAATATACTCATCAAAGTATTTCAATTATTCTAAATCTGTTTTATTATTTATTCATCTATTAGATATAGATTTAATAATCCAATCCATAGGAAAATCGATTTCGATATATCAATTGGAAAAATGAACCTATCCTTGAATCACTAGAAATAAGGATATAGTTTTACCCTTCCCATTATTATATATAATCGCTATAGCCCACTCTCTATTGCTTAATTATATTGCCTTGCTTCTATCATTTCGTTTAATATTAATTACCATCATTCCGAAGCATATTATACCCATTATAAAGCCTGTTTCATCGAAATTGTAGAAATCGTAATCGAGAATATCATATTTCACTTATATATTCGAAACTAATCGAAACCACTTTTCAATAAACTTAGAATCTTTATAAAAAGCCTTTTGAAAGTTATAAATACAATTAAAACACATTTTTAATTCGATTTGATACTTTATAAATCAATACATCCAAAACTTTCCAATACACTTTGCATCTCTTGATTTAAGAATATAGTTCGCTATATCTTCCACCATTCTAAGTTTAGGTGAAAATTCTTTTGAATCTATATCAAATATATATTGAATAATCACTTTCTCTTCTAATTTTATAAGATTATAACAATTTGCTCGAATTTCGATACAGGGAATAAAACTATTCATTCTATAATTGAATATTATATATAATAAATTATATAGCTTAGCAGTTTTTCGAATATTAAGTTTTTTGTCTTTTTGAATAGCTTCAATAACTAAAAGTATTCGAGCTTCTTTATTATTCGATTGCATTTCAATTGATTAATAAAACGCATATTGAAGTGAGAGATCAACAATTGAGGTGAAAGTGATCCACTCGGTGATAAAACACGTTAGTTGAATATTATATAATATAAAGATTTGTGGATTCGTAGAAGCAAATCAAGTGATTATGTATTCCATTACATAATCATATATTCCTATAATGTGGTTTATCAGCATGTGCACCATATCAGTATGTGCATTACTTTTACCTCAATTATTATTTTTCCACTTCAACATGCGATTTATTAATCAATTGAAATGCAATCGAATAATAAAGAAGCTCGAATACTTTTAGTTATTGAAGCTATTCAAAGAGACAAAAAACTTAATATTCAAAAGGCTACTAAGCTATATAATATATTATATATAATACTTATCCACAAAATGAATGGTTTGATCCCTTATATAGAATTCCGATCAAAAAGTTATAATTTGATTATTTTGAAAGAGAAGGTTATTATTCAATATATATTTGATATGGATAATAAAGGATTTAGTTTTAGAATAAATGATATAGAAGATATGGCGAATAGTATTCTAGAATCAAAGGGTAATAAGAAAGTTGAAAAGCTTTAAGCGAATTGATTTGTATAACAATATTTGGATTTAAAGATGCGTTTTATTCGTATTTATGATTTCCAAAAAGCTTTTTGCAAAGATTCAGAGTTTATTAGAAAATGATTTCGGTTGGTAGCAAATATGCAAGCCAAATATAGCATTCTCGATTGCGATTTCTATAACTTTGATAAAACCAGCTTTATAATGAAACAAATATTATCACATATAGTAGTCACTAAAGCCAATCGATACAATAAAAATAAAGCTATACAATCTAACAATCGAGAATAAACTATAGCGATTATTTGTATAAATGAAGAGAGTCACAATATACCTCCGTTTCTACTAGTTAAAAGCGAATATCACCTCTCAAACTGATATACTGAAAGCGGTTTACTATACAATTGGATTATAAAACCTACTCCCAATGAATAAACAGATAATGAAATCGGTTTTGAATGGATTAAGCATTTTAATAAACATATTATAAATAAAAAAGTAGATGGATATTGTATACTAATGCTTAATAGATATAAAAGTTATCAATCTATAGCTTTTCGGAAATACTACCAGGAAAACATATTATATTATTTGGTTTATTGCCTCATTTTTCGTATTGTAATTCAATTATTCGATATCAATTGTTTTAGTTCTTTAAAGTATTCATATAATTGATAAATCGAGAATTTTATTAAGGTATATATTATCTATATTATCAAAATCGAATTCTTTTAAGCTTTTAAAACTATATAATACTAAAGTAATATCAATATCAAATAGGAAAACTAGATGTCCGTAAAGCTAGGCTTATTCCATTTGATCCGAAAGCTGTATTTTCAAAGTTAGATATTCGAATAAGGACTTTATCAAATAGATCAATCTCAACCGATTCTAGAATATGATAACTCAAATACCTTATAATCCTATTGAAGCGTTTTCTCAATCTACTTTAATCAAAAGTCATATTGTACAATATCTAAGTAGTTCCTCTATATCTATATTTGAGATAGTTTATAGCTTTAACTAAAGATATAGAGCTCCTAATTTATATGAATACACTTTTAACTACTGAGATTCATATCTTCGTAAAGCGAATGAAGCACTTAATAATATTATAGAGTTTAAAAGGCTTTTATACGAAAAGAAGGAGCCCTTTCAATAGAAAATGGATATGATATATTGGAGCAAGAGAATGTAGATGATTAATATAATACAATAAGTATATAAATAATAGTTTTCAATAAAAAGACAATCTGTTATACAACAATATAGTAAATGCAATAGTGTTTCATATAATACACAAACTTGTCAATTGGATCCAGCATTAATTGATCTTTAGATTGTATATAATTTGATTCTATTTTATAGTATTGTTGTTATTTTATATTAATATAATATAGATAATTGAGGTAAAGTGGTGCACATGCTGATATGGTGCACATGCTGATAAACCACGTTATGCAGGCCTTTTTTATATTTGTAAATTCATAAAACCCCTTCTGATTGGTTATAAGTCACCACCAACGCCAGGGCAGGGTCGTTTCGTGTCACCCGCGAGGGGATACAACACTATGCTTCGAACTTGCTCCGAACTATTCAACATTGACCGTTTCATTCCCCTTCACGAGTCGGCTGCGCTAAAGAAAATAGTTTCGATAAATATTCAAAGCCAAACGCCTCATATACATATATGGATCCCTCAAAATGCCTCGCTAAATCAATCATTTCTTCCCGAATCTCAATTCGTCATCACATTTACCTCTACAATCGTAAAGTCTCTGACCTTTTATTAATGAATTACTTCCCATACAGCCACCAAACAAATCCACCCAGTCCCAAAAATACAACCACAAGCTGCACAAACAAGCCACCTTCATATCTTTCTCCCTCTTCTCCATTCCCGTTCCCATTCCCGTTCCTACTCCCGTTCCTAACACAGAATCTTCCTCCCTCCAAATCATTAGTCCGAGAATTACTATTGCGTATCCTTGCATCCCAATGCGAACGATCATAGCGTTCCACTGACGGAAGCGCAACGTGGTAAGTTGGGCGTGGAGCACGGGATGGGACATTCGTATGGTATTGTTGATGTCCTGTTGGCAAAGGTGGAGAAGGCAATGGAGAGGGCGGAAGATGAGAGGGGATAGGATATGGTTGCTGGAGGAGAGATTGGCGTTCGTTCGCGAGACTAGTTGCACGGCTATAGGTGTACCATCCTGGTGACGGGGTTGTGGGAACAGTATGTGTTTGTGGAGTTATTTGGACAAGGCTGGGGAAATCTGTAGATGGGATTGGTTCGGAAAGACTTCTCTGATCTAGAGGTCGTGTTGTGCTCTCAGAGTTTTGATGCGAAACCAATGTATTCCCTCTGATTTCCTCCCATGGATCTCTGAATGTAACTCTCGGTCTCTTCTGCCCCTTTCTTCTCCTCTCAGCATTCGCATTCCCTTGTTTCCCCTTCATGACCACCGTATCCATCCATTCTACTTTATCCTTATCCATCTCAAATCTCCTCATCAATTCCAGATAGCTCGTTTTACAAAGTCTTGTATCGAAAGCTCTGGAATCGGGTTTAAAGCTAATAGCTCGGAGCGTTGAGAAGGGGATTGGAAAAATATGCTCAGTAATAATGAATGAGGCTTTATTCATTTCTCCTGCTTCAAGATAGAGCTTTATCTCAGGATCGGTATCCAGGTCTCCTGTATTTTGAGGGGTTTGAGATATGGCGATGCGGGTTTTCTGGTTGTACTTTTGACGGGGTTTGGATGTCCTCTAGCGGTGATGATATATTGTTAGCTTACCCTCCACATCTACCTTTATTTTCTCTTCAAACAATAACTTCGAACAAATAAAAAGGAGATTCTCTACCATAGCAACAGAACAAACGTCTCCTTCATGCTCCAAAATCACAACCGGATGATTATACCCCTCATCATCCAAGCATCTCCCATTACAACAACTTTTCCCACGGTTACAAACTAAATCTCCATCGCTTTCCAATTTGGACGGAAGCCATACTATACAACCGACACAAATGTCGTTTTTCTTCAAACTTGGACGAATACCGACCCCAGAATGTGTTTCGCGGGGTGGACTGCGTCGGGATATGCGGGTTGCATGACGACTGCGCGTGCGAGGCATTTAATTAATTGTAGGAGATCGGAATCTTGAATTCAATTTCGAGATATGGATAAAATCAAAACGATAATAAGATAGAAGAAATGTAACACAAATATATCATCAAGAAAGAAAGCAAGTGACGCAAATCCCCATTTATCCCTCCCCGCCCCTGTACCACCTGTGCGCCCAGCTGTGCGACATCGACAAGCCGCACTGCATATTCAGCGCAGAACGTGGGGGATTCCTGGCCAATGGAAATTTGTTTGTGAGTAATGAATGGATGGTATTTGATGGTGGGTTTCTGTGCCACTGTGACCTTTTTGGAGACCATTGTGTATGGCTTTTCGTTAGGCTGAATTTGGGGAGGTTTGGGGGCTAAGGGGTCGGGAGGTTTGCGAGGGGGTGAGACGTGATGGGGATGGGGCTTGGGCTGAAGAAGGTGATGAAATATTTCTCTCGCATTGAGAGGTTAATTGGTTGCAATATTCTCTAGGGTAAGGTTGGGGATTTTCGAGGGTGAATGGATTGTTGCGACGAGATTGAATGCTTAAATATGACGGCGATTGGCATGCTGCCCTTCAAGATAGTATCCGCAATAGCCTGCATACCGCCCATTTTCTTGTCAAACTTATTGATAAAGTTATCCCGGTTGGATCTCCTAAAAACATTGATATCATCTGCATCACGTACATCGACCAGCGGAGCACAATCCGACTCAGACGAAGTTAAGCTTGTAGGAGTTAAACGTTGATATCCAATTCCTCGTGTTCCTTCTCAAGGGCTCTCCTTGGGTCTTCAACGCCTTCATCTGAACCTAAGCTCAAGAGATCTAAAGCTATTACACCAGATTTATTAACTATACTCCCCTATAGTGGCAGAATTCGTATTTGATGAATAATTGCTTTATTAATTATAATAAAATCTTTAAAATTCAATTATACATCGAAAAGATCATTTTTGAAGTATTGATCAAATTAATTTTATTTTTGTATTCGATGAGAGGAGTTTATTTTAAAGCGATTTAGTAAATTTCTTGAATTTTATATTTGGAAAGATAATTTTAAATTTTAGTTTGAGGTAATTATTTTTATATATAAAAAACTCTATCTATATTAAAATCAGATTGTATTTCTATTTATTTAATATATTTTATATTTCGTAGTATAGTGATAAAGCTTTTAATTAAAAAAATAAATTAAAGATAATAAGAGTGATGAATAGATTTCCCTTTAGATTTTCGACTAATACTTTTTGCTTACTGTTGAGTTTTTATTTTTATTTTTGTTTTTCAATTTTTTATTATTATTATTATTATTATTTATTTCTTTAATATCTTTTTAATTTCTATATATATATTCGTTTACTTTATCTATAACTCTAATATTCAAAAAATCTAAGGTCTTTTAGAGCTCTTGTCTTCTTTTTTTAGAATAAAATTAATAATAAACAGATTGCAAAAAAACTGATTTATATTATTACTGGATAAAGTATTTATTTTATTAATAACGAATAAAATATTAAAGTTATTAAGATTTTATAAAAGTTCTAAATTTATTAGTTGATTCTCATACAATTTGAAAATCGATATTTTGAAGCTTCTAGATCTCAATCTAGAAAAGTCCTAAAAATCTAAAAATTTTCAGAATAAGCTTAAAACGATCTAAATTATATATATAAATTTTTATTAAATTCTATTATATAGTGATAAAGCTATTTGTGTAAAACAAGGGTATTCACTTTAAAGAAATGACTTTAATATAATAGCTACTGTTACTTTACTAATCTGACAAATTGATTTATACAAACAATTATTCAACAATGGATACTAGCTATATTATAATAAATCATATTGAAGGAATCTTACAATACCATGGTATCATTAATGTGCGGTTGTAAACGATCTGTTGTACTGCCGAGCGTGTCGGGTTGTGATTCAATCACTCCAACAACGACAACAACGATTACATCGATAATTAAAGTGAGTAGAGATGATGATATACAATTTATCTACAAAGTAATAATCAATCAATTTTATAAGGAGAACGGAAAGCAATGAGTAACCCTAAAAATTGTAAGTGCAATTAATGCATACATTAAAATCTTGAACAAGACGGAATTGAACCATACTGATACACTAAGATCTACATATATCAATAGTATAATCAAGATTATAAGATAAGCCGGGCCTATACAAAGAATCTCTATACCAATTACAAGAGTAACCTCAAAGGGAATTGCTAAATCCTATACTGATATACTCAAGACTGGGGGGGCGCCTCAAACACCAAAAAGCACCAAGGCAAGCACGCCTAAAACAATAAAAACGATACAGGAGTATAAACAACAAAAGCGAAATAGTTATACAATTCTTATAAAGATAGGAAGTGGGTAATAGATAATTGTTAATAACTCTTTTGAATTACAACTGAAGATTATAGAAACAATTCCTGGATTAAGACTCGAATTAATCTTTTTGTTTTATTGTAACAAAACAGAATGGATTCTAGGATATAAAACACTAAAGGAATACAAGAATCTTTTGTGAAACGAAAATCGTATACAACTGATTATTGTGTTTGATATAAATAATACTCAAACTACAAAAATCTGATATAACTATATTATACCTCAAATCCTTTACAATATGTTGGGCACACTTACAACACTTCCAAATATAATTATTCGAGAAAAAATCAAAACATAAGTAGGAAAGGAATTAATGTAATATAAAATCTTTAAGTATAAAATGAACCCTTTTACAGAAAGGGTCAACTGGATTGTTAGCTTTAAGAAAATAATAAAACTATTCTGGCTATTTAATATTAATAAATACTCAAAGCCCCTTGATAGATTGCAATACCCTCAACTATAACAGCATTCCAATGAATGCTAGCTATACTGTAACCTGTATATGTATTATCGCCCGATTTGTTGTTTTAAATATAGCGAACTGATTGTTAAATATATTGATGGAAAGATTTATGAGCAATATCAAAATGATATTTAATATACGGGATGCCTAAAATCCTTTTGATCTGTACACAATAATTGCCCTATAATATTACAATCAGTCAATAAAAAACTAATCAGGCTTACCCACCAACAAATAAGAAAAATCAGGACTACTAGCTGAAGGGAGACTCAGGAAGTATATAAGGAAAAGGTACCTATTCCAATACCAGCCAAACAACCTCAAATGATTATCCCTAGACCCCCTATATCGGGAGCCTGTATTATTGTCTACAAAAACGAATAGCAATTAGTAAACCAATCATTCAAACAAACTTGATTAGGGGAGAGCTTTTCCAATAATTTAATTCACACTCCAAACCGTAACCCTCCACATCACATTAATAAAGGGATAAACTATAATATAGTAGCTATAACTGAAAAAGCCTTCTTATCTTTTAACTCTAAAATAAACGAAAAAAGTAAATCAAATACTAACAAAACCATCACTATTTCTGTATAAGTTGTACAATTAATACAAACTCAATAAGAAAAAAGAGACTTACAATTATATAGACGAATATGGGATACAAACATTCCAATCATATTACCCTCCTATAGGTTACTGAAAAAACTGATATGGATATTATCTGTATCCAAAAACCCCGACTATATGATAATTCAATAATCCAAAATCATATTGTATATAATCGATATCAGCCAATCAACACTTAGAGAGTAATTGATAATCCTAAATATAAACCACAAATAATCATCTATATACAAAAAGGAGACAATTTGAAGGTCAGACAAATAAAGCAAACCAAAAACAAAAATCTACTTTGAATTAATATTAATAGATACTCGATCCTCAATGCCTATTATACCTCGCTTGATCCACTAACAATAGAATATATACTCGAACTAGAAATCGTTCTAGGGATTGGTACAATTATTGGAAATAACTTTAATGTTAAGTATAATCTGTAAGAACCCAGAGTAACAATTACCAATCAAGGTAACATGCTTGTATAATAGATTACCGAATAGGAAATAGAATATATCGGAATTTTTGATACCCCTACACATACAAGAGGATATATTCTGAATCTGACCTTCTCCAATCTAATCATCGTTACAACAATAATCAATAACAACCTGTATAGCAACTCTGATCACATTACTCAAGTCATTACCATCTCAAACAAAAGAACCTCTAAATACAAGCAAATGCACATCCGGATACACAATTCAAATTTACCCTGCCTGATAGACATAATAATCAACCACTTAACAAATCTCCAGAACCTAAATCCCCAATCTATCTACAATATCAATAAACTGATCATTAAACTCATAAATACACTAAGCGCCTCTGTAATAACTATGGGGCAGAAAGGCCATAAACCTTACCAATCATCTCTATAGTAGATTGACAAGTATAAGAAGGCACATTGAATATATATACAAGCTAGGAAAACTGGAATTGCTAATGGAATAATAATTGTTTAACAAAACCTATAAAGAGTCGTACAAGTATCGAAACAAGTTTATTGGATTAAGTATTTGGATGATATACAAAACAATCAGGAATTATACAAAATCATAAACTAATACAAGCTAATTCTAGAAATAGATCTTAAGGCCTTTTTTCTGGTAATCAAAGGCTAGAAGATTATTAATATTAGGGAAAAAGCCAAAGTACTTTTTACAATAATATTCGATTGCTTTAAAGTATTGGATGATTTATAGTATAATTCTTTATAGAAACAGGATTGTTAGATAATCTTACTATAAAAAAAATAATTATTATAGAGGAAGTGGAAAAATATATAATAGAAATCAGGAGTACATCACCCGGAATCGATCGGGCAATCGTTTGCCTTCTCAAAGTGTGTTAGTTTAACACAAAGAATATAATATATAAGATTTTCGCAATCTGCTTCAAGCTCAGCTATTACCCTAACAAATAGAAACTTGCTAAAATAGTTATATTACCCAAAATTGATAAAAAGGATAGGATGTCCTCGAGATTGTAGAGGCTGATTATATTGATATTATATATTGGAAAA